CACCGTGTTATACTTGAAGTCCCGAACATCGGTAAAGATAGGAATAGCATCATTGACTATATGTCTTTTCCGAGGCTCTATAGATCATGGGGATGCCGACATCTGGTATAGGCTCATCTGCTTGAGCTCTATGAAGCCATATATTCGATTGCTTTAGGTTTCAAACACTATACCATGTGTAAGTCTGTTGAGCTAATCATCTTTACCACGATACCATACTGTCCTATGACACCACTTGTCTCAACTATATCCCATGTATCTATCATCTTCCAGATCCTTTCTACTTCTATTCTAGCCATCATCTACTGTCACTCCCATGCGTTTTCACCGTATTCCTTCCTTAACCATATTGAAGATGAAAGCTCAAATGAGTCGCCCTAATTCATTAACAGCACTTAAAACAAATAACTGGCGTGGTATCTTATGAGAACCACCCACTCCATCTCCAGGATATGAGTGTCCTAAAGTTCAGGTTAAGTCAAACTTGAGTGCAGGAAGATTCGCCTCGTGTAGCAAATACGGGGATGCCGATGGGACATTAGTCTACTCCTAATCGTATGGGTAGTATCTATGCATCTACGGATACTACTTCCGTGATCCCTACTCCTGTTCCGAGTCATTGACCACGCATGTTCGGATAGAGCTTGGGTTCAACAGTCAACTTCAGAAGGTACCTTCTCTAACAAAAAAAAACAAGACAAGGCTCAGTAAAATGTCCACCCGAAGATATTACGAATAAACCAATCATTTGTGTGAATCTCCATGCCGAAGAATCGAGAAACACGTGGAAATTTGGTAGTAGAACCGATTCACTTACTCCAGTTCGCTAGTAAATTGGGCGCAAATAATAGACTCAGATTGTCTGATGTGCCTACCTTTTTACCTGCCTGCTTGGACTACTTGAACTGTTTGAAGTTGGGATGACTGAAATGCTGGAATTACACAAGATAGGCCTAAGTAAATTGACAATAGACTACCAATTCGCGGATACTGTATCATCGGTTAAATCAATAGTTAGCCTCAGATTGGATTCTTTCGTTTGAAGGAAACAATTACTCCCCTCAGGACTTCATTCTTAAGTAATGTTATTTACCCCAATATCCAGGGACTCAAATGAGTCAGAATGGGGAGTTGGTTCGTCATAACAATCATAGTACACTTATATACTAGTACGGAGTAGTACTATCAGTGCGTGTTCATATTGCACATTGGATATTTTCTCGGGTGCGCCATCTGTGGAGCTCTTAATGCCACATCCCAGAGCCCCCACCACCGCCTTTACAAATTTTTGCCTTATCGATAAATATGCCTTTTTTTGGCGGGGTTTTATTAATTGAGCGGCATCGTGGGTTCCCATCTTCAGGCTCATTCCACTCATATCTACTAGTCACACCCTTTACCTTATAAGACTCGACGTCGATGGTGTGTGGGGGGCTGTAGCATGTTATTTTGAACATATTGCGTCAACCCAAGAATTCATATTTGAATCCCTCGTTCTCACACAACTGAGGGGCCCATAACGTTTATCAAACCGCCAAAATTGAGAGTTTTCCTAGTTGGTCTAGAAGAGAAACCGTCTTCCTTGCCAGTTTGAACTTGACATCCGTTTTCTTAGCAACTAGGACTCTTAAAAATGGCTGAGGCTTCGATTGCTTACCCCGCGTCATTAGACACGCTATATGATGAAGCGTCCTCGTTGAAGCAATTATATGAGCCTATCCGGTTAGCAGATGCTGAGATAGTTCCAATCTTACAGTTACCTCTCGCAAAGGCTGTCTTTGGCCACGATTCGGCAGATGAGAGTACTCTCGCTCGTGTATCTAGCGGAGAAATCTCGTATACAGCCTTTTTGACAAACAAGACGAAGTCTATATCTCAATCGCCACTAGATGGCCTGACCTCTGAACAGCGGAGTTCGCAGCTGCTTCACATTGGTCTAGCAGCCCTCTTCAGTTTTCTTCAGTCCAATGTCACTGGCCCCCCACTAAGCTTCAACCCTGCAGAGCTAATTATTCCGTCCACTCTGCAAGCTGATCCGACATGCCTGAGAGCCGTCCGAGCGCATATAATTCGCGGTCTCTCGGTAGATGGTGAAGCAGCTTATAAGTTGACTCCGAATGTGGAGCTTTTCGCTGTTGCGAAGGCTATCCTGGCCGATACTGATGTTCTACTTACGAATGGCCCGTTGGTTGCTAGGACGGCAAGAATGCGTGTCAATTTTCTTCACCAGAAGATGCTATCAGAAATCACTGGCACGCTTCAGGATGCGATCTATTCCGACATGGAGCAAATTAGCAGCATTTTGTTGAATGGAAATACTGCTGGCTCAGAGAAAGGGAAATTCCTACTCGAGAGAGCACTTATCCACACTCATCACGGCTTTGATTCCAAAGCCAGAGCCGATATCGACAAGGCTGCATCAGAACGGAATTTCAAATTTGCTTTAACCGGAAAATTGGGCAAAAGAACTAAGTTCCAAGAGCGCGATATCAGTCAACTTGTCATCATTGCGAAGAGTGCCGAAGATGCAGGAGATACGAATATCAACAACTCAGGTGATTCTGAGCCCTCGGGGCCGAAGAACTTAGACCTCAACGATGATACCCTTCTGGAATCTATATCTTTTACGAAGGATGAGAAACAAGAGTTCCAGAATAAGCAAGTTACCGTACAAGAGGAGTCGACGCTCCCGCCAATGCTGGCATCTCTTGATCCCGGGAATCAGCCAAAGCTCAACCCTGTGGACTCCGCTATTCTCCTAGCTCTTGCGGCCGCGATAACTAACACTACACCAGAGGATGGTCTAACTCGAGAGGAGACACACCCCTACGCCACCCGAGTCCTTGAGGGTGGTAGCTCAAACTGGCAGATCTACACACAGGGTCTTCTAGCTCGGAGCAGAATTGAGGGCTATAGGGCTCGAACTGTGGAAAGATCGGTTTTGCAAATGCAAGCTCTTGTGGATCAAGTCATTGCCGACACCGCTACCCTCGATAGTCAAGCCACTTCTACTGTCGAGGAACCTACTACATTCCTTCCAAGACCCGAGAAATCCGAATCCGCGTCAGCTGCAGAGAGACTCGAATACATATGGCATCTGAGCTTCTCCACCAGGTGGGATCTCGAGGCTGAGTTGGCAACTCGTTGGGTCAATCTCGGAGGATTGCGTACTGCTCTGGAAATTTATGAGCGTTTACAGATGTGGGCGGAGGCTGCGCTATGCTATGCCGCTACAGAAAGAGAGGAGAAGGCTAAGTCCATGGTTCGCAGACAACTCTACGAACCTACGAACAAAGAGCTTGAGGATGAAAATGAGAAGTTTGAGGGACCCGAGCTCTCGCCTCTACCTGCTGATGCCCCAAGACTTTTCTGTATTCTGGGAGATCTTGACTCAGACCCAGCCATGTACGAGCGCGCGTGGGAGGTCTCAAATAACAGATACGCCCGCGCTCAGAGGTCTCTGGCTCGGCATTACCTCACGTTGAAGCCACCTGCTTTGGAAAAGGCAGAGGAAGCTTTCCGCAAGAGCTTGCAAATTAACCGTCTTAACCACGGCGCTTGGTTCTCACTAGGCTGTGTACAGCTTGAACTACAACGTTGGGATGATGCGAAGGCCTCATTTACTCGGGCCGTCCAATTGGAAGAAAACGATGCTGAATCATGGAGCAACCTTGCTGCAGCTATTCTACAAACACCTCAGCCAGATGAATCCACGCCCACTGCTGTGGAGCAGCTGCCAGACGAAGAGCGCGAAGCGGAAACAGAAAAAGCGTCGGAAGATCCTCACAAACACAAGCGCGAGGCCCTTGCAGCCCTCAGTCGTGCGGCTCAACTCAAGAATACAAACTCTCGTATCTGGGACAACGTGCTTACGGTGGCAGCTTCAATCCCTCCTCCGTTTACCCCGTTCCGTGATGTTATAACCGCACAGAGGAAACTCATTGAGATTCTTGGGGATAAGAAAGGCGAAAAAGCGGTCGATCTTCCGGTCTTGGGCATGCTTGTCGATCACCTTACCACTGCCTACGAGTATGAAGAGCTTGTAATCAAAGTTGACAATGGCAGTGAGCCTCCTCAGCAACTCGTTCGCAGTGGTACAATCGCTGGCCAGATTCTGTCTCTGCTGGACAACTCGGTTGTGCCACAAATCACCCACTCTGCCTCACTTTGGCTTCTTGTTGCCCGCGTTGAACAATGGCGTGGACGGCCGACGAAAGCCTTAGAAGCCCATGAAAAGGCCTGGCGTGCCACCGTAGCCTCGTCAACACAGGGGGCATTCCAGATGGGTGATGAGAAGAAGTGGATGGAAATCGTACGTGCTACAGAGAAATTGGTCCGCAATGGGTATTCTAAATACGGACCTATGGACAAAGAAGGCCAGGAAGATGCAGGTGAGGCTGAGCTCGTTGCCAAAGATTGGAGGTTTAAGGCTCGTAGTGCAGTGAGGGGTATTCTGGGCAAAGGCAAGGAGTTCTGGGAGGATAGTGAAGGGTGGTCGCAGTTGAAGGAGCTGCAGAGTGAGGTTGGAAGTACATAAGCAGGCCTCCTATGTGATTAAGTTTTCATTTTCATTATAGATCGGTACACAAAATCCCATTTCAGAGACTACATACACTGCCACTTTCCCTTTTATATCCGAGTTCGGTTTTCCAATGGCCTCTACGAAACACGGTTGAGAAATCACTTCCGGAGCAGAATGGACGAAACCCGATTCTCCTCGGTTATAGGTGGTCATTTCTTCAACGTAGGAAACATGTTGACTTCTTGTCAACAAGCAGAGAGAGGTCTGTAACGACTATCTGCTGAAAAGCTGCTTGATATCGAGGTTGACCACGACCCTCCGGTACATGTACATAAATGCTTGCTCTGCTATGAAAGCAACGGGCTCCTTTCCACTGAGATAATCTTGGGTAAGGGATGGTTCCCAGGTTTGGAGACATTAAGCCAATGACGATCTCACTGCCTGGAAACGTCGACTGCAGTGTATGCAAAGGTGGCGGTCAGTTAGACCGGACTTCATCGAATGTGGGGATCTTGCCGGACTCGTAATGGGCTAGGAGGCTGTCCATATCCTGGTCATTCATCTGTACAAGTTCGCCCAGGCCCCAGGATTCACAGACTCCAGACATCCTGGGTAAAATGTCAGTAGAGGTTTGTAAGGTATCTTGGACCACTTACCATTTCATCCTTTTTGGACCTTCCTCTACCTTGGGAGCTACCTCCCTTAGCTTTCTCCGCAATTTTCCCACATTTTCTATTGCGGCGCCCATATTGTCGGGGAGAGTGTCGGCGATTTTCTTTCGTACCATACTCGCAAGCTTGGGGCCATTTCCATTCGTGCTGACCATCACCTGTAACGGGCCATCCCGATGCACACTACCGAAGTAGAAGTCACATTCAGGAGGTACATCGGCGATGTTTGCGGGTATTCTCTTCTCTTTACACAGTTTCCATACACGGGTCGAGGCGTCTGGGTCGTCAATGGCACAGAGAACCATATCTGCTCCTTCAAGGTCTGTTGGCTCGAAGTTCCGATCGATGTGAGATACTTGGCCCTCGGAGACCCGAAATGCTACTTCATCGTTGAGACCAGAGGCAGGACAGACAACCGTTACTTTGGCATCGGCGTTAAGGGCATGGAGGATGCGACCGGCGGCTACCTATGCTCAGCATGTAACCGGTCAAAACGTATTCCAAATATATATAGTAGTTGGTTGCTAGCTAAAGGAGCTTACCTCCCCACCTCCTACAACCAAGACATGTTTGTCTTTCACCTGCCAGGCAACAATGAGAGAGCCTCCTCCCTGGACTTCAGGAAATTTCCGCGGCATATTGGAATTGGTGGAATTGGGCTTCGATTAACTATCAGCAAAGCGGGGTTTATCGAAGTGAGGTTGGCGGGGACTTCGGTACGGGGAGCAACAAAACCCCGTGACGAAAAGCTCCAGCTATTTTTCTCTCCAAAATTTTTTTTTTCTTTCTTTCCCGTTGCTCATCGTGGGCTCCCCATTCTACCACCACCTTGAACCTTCCCCCAGTCCCTTTTCCATGCCTTATTCTAGCACATAATTGCATCAAAATGCGGGGAGTACAGATTTTCTCTGGGACATCGCATCCCACACTTGCTAAGGTGGTCTGCGACCGGTTAGGGACTCAACCTGCCCGGGCAGACTTAGGTAAATTTGCCAATGGGGAGACAAGTGTAAACATTGGTGTCTCAGTACGGAACCAAGATGTCTATATTGTCCAGAGTGGCAGTGAGAAGATTAACGATAGTGTCATGGAACTCTTGATCATGATCTCTGCCTGCAAAGGAGGTTCTGCGAAGTCCATCACAGGTATGCTCACCAAATCCAGTCTTTAAATATCTTAGCTGGCTAACTTGCGCCTTATTCTAGCGGTCATACCGTATGCTGCCTGCCTAGTTTGACTATCGCACAATTGATGCTGACCTAGCCGAGGTATTTTCCATACTCTCGCCAATCTAAAAAGAAGAGCCACCGTGGTGCCATCACCGCCCGCATGCTGGCAAACCTCCTTTCAGTTGCTGGAGTAGACCATGTGATAACATTGGACTTGCATGTGAGTCACAAAGCAATTGGTGACAGTGTAATGTCTTTTCCTGGACATATTTCTCATCAGGAAATATATAGGCATCCCAGATGCAGGGATTCTTCGGCAAACCCGTGGACAACCTGTTTGCTGAACCCTATATCGCTCGTTGGATCCGCATGAATGTTCCTGGCTGGAAAGAGGCAGTCGTTGTCAGCAAGAATGCTGGGGGCACCAAGCGTGTTACATCATTGGCGGACACCTTAAAGCTCAACTTCGGCATCGTCACTACCGATAGGCGGCGGCCCAAGATGAATATGGCTATGACGGACAGCACCGTCTTCTTTGATTCCATAGATGACGACTGCACGCCCGTCCAAAAAGAGGATGATCCGTTTGTACTTCACGTACAGACTGGAAGTCATAATAATTCGCAAGTCGAAGAGGTGCATAGGTTATCTGATAACATGGAATCATTGTTATCGGCAAATGCCTTGCTTCCAGACATTCTAACAGGTGCTCGACGCCCGTCAGAGCTAGAGGCTGCTCACGGGTGTACGGATGTCCGAGTACACGACGTAATCACTGGGAGACTCGTAGAGGGTCACCTCGTCGATGATGATTATCCTCCAGTCGACTCTATGCCTGCGTCTGGAGACACTACACCCGGGCAGACTGTGGCAGAAAGCTCCGATTCTATTCCTGACCCAATGGCGGAATCCTTTGTCTCCACCACGTCTTCTTTACCGGGCGACCATGCTCTTGGCGGCTCGTTTGATGCTGCTGAATCATCTGATGAAGAAGGTAGTGTTGGACGAGCTATCGAGCGAGAGAAGACCATTACTTTCGTGGGCGACGTCCGTGATAGGACTGTGTTCATCGTCGATGACATGATTGACAAAAGTGGATCATGGATTGCTGCTGCAGAGACTGTTGTGAAGAAGGGTGGTGCTAAGAAGGTCTACTGCATCGCAACCCACGGACTCTTTGGAGATAAATCCCTTGAGCAAATGGAAGAGTGCGAGGCGATTGACTACATTGTAGTGACCAACACTTTCCCCATCTCGGAACAGATGGTTAAGAAATCGAAGAAGTTGGTCGTCATCGATATATCGACTCTCATCTCAGAGAGCATTAGACGCCATCATTATGGTGAAAGGTAAGTTTATCCTTCAATTCACGGCTGTACTGGGGAATCCTAACGCTTGCTGAAGTGTTTCGGCACTTTTCCATCTGAACGACTAACGTGTATTCTTCAACTACGCCTTTTTCTATTCCCATGCTTTTGGACGGGGTAAAATCTCGCCATCGTGCCCACTACGGTATAACATGAACTTGACGCATTGATTGATGATGACTTCAAGCGAGTAACGACCTGAAAAATGATGAATTTCTTATCCTCTATACCAGATGGCGGTTACTTGCTTTCACTTCGCAGGCTTCTGCTTTCTCCCGTACAATTATGGCCGTACATCTCTCATGATACCTTAGGCGATTTCTTTCTAACAAGTTTCAAAACCGTTGCCCTATCTGGGCATCGATTCAACATACTTATCTCAGCATCGCACAAACGACCATTTCAGGTCTCGCTTCAAATAGGAAGATTGGCCTCCTATGGCTACAGATGATGTGGCTTTTGTTTATGCCTTGTTACTTAGTTGTGCTTTGATCTCATTGGGAAGCCAATAGCCGGCAAACCATAATTTTACTACACCAGCGATGCAGTCCACTTTGGGTACTGCAGGAACATCTTGAAAACTCACAAGATTGTTCTTAACGGAGCGTTGGGAGAGCAAATTCGGTTCTGTCTCGCTGTCTGCTCTTTGTGTCAATCGACACGGGGGATAGTTAGCGGCAGGGCTGTCGAGGAGTGAAGGCACCAGTTTCTGAAATTTTCGTATTTCATGGCCTCGGCCAGTGGAACTGGTGCAAGAGAACATCTCGAACATTTCTGTACTTGCATTCATCGTAGTCTCAAATCTACTTCCAAAATATATCTGTTTTGTGCCAACCTACAAGTCCTTTCTTTCCTCTCTTTCTTGGGCTGCACAGGCTGTGTCTCGCCTTTGCGTAGTTGAGTACGGATAGATATCAGGGTCATTCTTTGGTCTCCGCCGCTCTCAAACAATTGGTTGAGCATTGGCGCAAGTAATGAGCCGAACTGGTCTTCGTTGCTCGGAGTCAAGTAGGCGGCAGGTTTGTTAGGTGGTCTGACTTCATTGTACTGTGCCGTTCTAGACTTTTGGCAGAGAGGTGTGTATGTGACGTCGCACAGTAGACCTGAGCTCGATCGTTGTAGCGGTGTACCCAGTTGAACGCCATTCGAATTTACAAGAAGTCGATCCGATCCGATCCAAAGTGAATCGGTATGCCTGCGATCGATGTCATCTACTGGTCTTTGCTCGATTGAGATTCACAGGAGAAGGTCTGACCCATCTAGTCATTCACTTGCTACAGCCATGTGGACACACAATGTGTCCTCGAATCAGCCGAGTCACCTTGAAACAGGATGTCAACGAGACTCTGGCATCGGAGAAATGAATTGCTCTGCGGGTCACCACAAACAAATATCATGAGAATTGGTACAGACACGACGCTATTACTTCGGGTAATACGACATACTATCCTTTGTGTGAAAAGGGAGATTACAGGCGATTCAGGGCAGGCGAGAAAGGAAAAAGAGACCTGTCTAGCACAAAAGTACCAGCGGGACGCGTGGGTCATTGTTCGAAAAGGAACCAACTCCGCGGGAGACGGGGGGACACACTAACAAGCCAACGAAACCTACCGGGGCACAGGAATACGCCGGGGAAGAGGATCCGGTAGATCAGCGCAGAAGTCGACCAAAGGTTCGAATTTCAACTTGGATGTCACTGTTTCTCAATTGGGCAACGGGATCGGAAAGGATCACAACTAGCTCGCTTCCTCCGTGAAGGTTCTAAGCGGGCATGAGTGAGGATAACCGACTACCCTCGTGAGAATCCAAGCAGCGTCTACGTAGTACCTACAACCCCAATGTGTCCTGATACGGCGACCGGCGTTAGGGTACCCCGTTAGCCTCTACGACGATTCGGCTGAAGTGGGATTGATGAGATATAGCGTCGTCCATGCGATGTCATCAATGGCCCTAGCGCCTTGGTGTGGAACACTGTCAGGTCCGACAGGCTGGGTATTTGGGGGCTTTGGACGCTGTGCGCACCGCGTGCGCATTTCTCTTGTCGGTTCGAGACCCAATTTTCTTTTAGTCCTTTTTGGTCCTGCCAAAGTCAGGCCGCTAGAACTAATGATTTGCTGATAATTTCGATCTACTTGTTTTAGTGGTCCAATACGACTACAAACCCCCCCCCGAACTAGATTTAGGGCCTAATTAGCTTACAGGACTGGAGCTAGTGGAGGTCTTACACCTTCGGCTGCGCGCTGAGGAACCCCCTGGTTTCCCGATTCTTGGAATTGGTTGACAGGTCAGTCTGCCGGATGTTAAATGACTGCCGGCTTTTAAGTTGGAGAAGAATTTACGACATGTTTGATTCCAATTGTTGCCACCGCCCAACGAACGAGGTAAAGTGTCCGCCTCCACTACCCCTTTCTCGGGTCTGGGTTGCACATCCTATGCGCTGGTGGCTTTTGACAGCACTAAGCTGGTACTTAACTCTATTCGTACTGGAAAGCCACCGACTCACGAACCCGGTTGGCGGGTCAGTGGATCCTCTGCAATTGTCCGTCGCGATCAGCTAACTAAGATCAGCACAAGAGCGAGGGAGAGGTAAGAGTGGGTAAAAAGAGATAAAGAAAAAAAAAGAAAAGAAAAGATCACATCACATCACAAAAATTTGAAATTCGGCAAAAAAAAAAAATACAAAACAAAAAACACGAGAGAAAATTGGCGCCAGATTATACGATATTCCAAAGTGAGATAACCTTTCTTGTCGGGAGGCACATCAACTATACTTCATAATGACAGACTAGTACTGCTAGTCGTCTTATATAGGTGTGATGCACACACAAACATACATCGATATGCACTACATACATCCAGACCTGCATGGGAATCTCATCTGAGGATGCATATCACGTGTCCGGAATGGGATGTATACTCCGGACGTCTCTGATTGCTCCCTTCCAGAACACCTAAAAGGTTTCCCTGCATCGTCAGCATCTCACCGATTCATGGTGGAGCAGTTAAACTTCCAGCCTGGGATGCTAAAAGACCGGGGGCCTCGGTAAAGGGGTGCCGGTGCAACTCGGTGATACGGTGGCTATAACATGGACAGGGGAGACCCTTCTTCTACAAGCTTCCTGATGGGACAGCGTGCCTATGGGGATGAGCCCAAACAAGTCAGATACGACCAACCATGATGTGGAATTGGGAATTGAGGTTTCGGGAAGGGAGTGCGAGAAAATTTAAATTGGACTTCAAAGTTTCTTATCCGTCAAAAATCACCTGCTCAGAAAGAAATTTCAGGTAAATGAAAAAAGAAAAATAAAATATAAAAAAATAAAAATAAAAACCCATCAAGCCATGGAAATCGGGACTGTGCTAGGGCCAAGGGAACCAGTGTGGGAGTGGGAGAGAGAAAATGATGAAAACTATTTGTCACATGGGTCCTGAGTTTCTCAGGTTACTCTAACAATAATATTAAAAATATACTAGTTAAGACATGACTAATTATTGAAATAGAGAGAGGGGAAGAGGCAGGTGGAAGAAAAAATCAAATTAATAAATCAAAATGGAGGTAATATCGCTATAAATACATTAGATTCAAGCTATCAAAAAAAGAAAATATACCCCGTCAGTATGGATCTTGGGAAGGATCCGCACGCCAAAAGTTCCCAATGCACTGGCACTGGGAAATCCTTTTTACTCCTCCAATCATCAGTATCCGATTCTTTACTTTTAGGCCCAGATCCGTGGCCCTGGTTATAGCTGCGTAGAGTACCAATAGTCCTGTCGCCTTTGTCCGATCCCGGCTATCTCCATCGAATGATGATCTTCGAGATCTGCGACATCGTGAGCCCCAGACCTATCCTAAATATGGTAAGAGAAGCTCCAGGGTTCCCGGACTATCGCATAACTTTCCAGCTCCCCGGGCGCCCTCTCATACCCACTTTCTCTGATCCACTGGCGATATATCACTTTACTGTCCACTGTTCAGTTAATGATGATTGGTCTCCTTCCCATTATTGACATCCATTGTTGGGCTCTTGCCAGATTTCCCCGTCGTGGCTTTTGTTTTTCTTTTTGTTTTTGTTTTTCTTTTTCTTTTTTTTCTTTTTCTTATTCTCTCTCTCTCTCTCTCTGACACACGAACCTCAGCTCACACACAATTCCTCTTCCCTTTGGCTTCTCTACTTCCTTTTTTTCTCTTTCCTTCGTACACATCTCTTCGATCACACTCAGGTTGCTCCACCCCACTAATGCTCCTTAGACAATAACCGGGTACGGATACTTGCATCACAATTCTAGCATCATTCTAGTGGCATGTAGCTGAAGTTGCCCGGTCTGGACTTCACACATCTTACCGTTTTCTGTACAGAAAGGTCGTGTTCAATGCGTCTTAGCAGACGGTAACTCGTTCCCGGTCCTAATCGAAAGCTCGCGACTATATATACTATGGAGCTTCTGCCAATTCGTCTCTACAACATCTCCTCATTCCTCTTCAGTCTACCTGCATCTCTGACCTTGCAACTTCCTTACTACCGAGTGAATACGGCCTCCCTTACTATTCTTCTTCATCCCTCGCAAAGGACTCCCTAGAGCTTGCTTTAAATTCCACGTCCGCTCCTTTCCAGAGCCAAGTTTCGACATTGTTGTTGTGTGAACCAAGGTTCAGTGACCGAACCCAAAAAAACTTCCCCCCGGACTCTAACCTTACGTGAACCTCCTGAGGTAAGTGACGTGGACCAAGCCTTTAGAACTGAAACATGTTAAACTAACCTGTCGGGACAGCATCACCATGGCCAACCAATGCCCGGGACATGTTTTCGCTATTGTGCAAGCCACCAATGGGAACATCCTCACCTGGCGCTGTTCGGACTGCACCTCGGGGCCATTTGTGGCCATCTGGCGCTGCAAGATCTGTAATCACTGCCGCTGTAACTCATGCCACACCGCGAAGGCCTGAGTAGCAGCTACACTGGTAGCCATCGGGTCTGGTATACTTCGGTAAGTAGTGGTACAAATGGGGGAGCGAATCCTGCTTTCCTTGTGTAACGAGAGCTTGAGGATCGACCGCTGACCCCTTCTT